TTCATGTTAAATCTCATCTCCAGCTGACATATTAAACAGCCACGGCAACATGTTTTCCTTTTGGGATAAAGGTTTTACATAAATTAATAAAAACTGGCCACTGTAAGCCCCCCCACTGTCGGTATTAAATGGTTTGTCCCAACCCTCTATCTGCCCCTTTTTGCTGGACAGCTCGGCCTGCCAAAAAGGTTTAAAGGAGAACTATGAGGCGAGTGCTTTCCACTCACCTCATAGTTCTAGCCGACCTGTGACAATGAGACTGTCACAGGTCGGCTCAGTAGATCGGGAGGTGAGCGAACACATACCGGCGTTCGCTCACTTCTCGATCCTGTCACGGCTCTCTGCCATGACAGGGGAGGGGCTGGATTCCCCCCTCCCCGCTCCGATCTGCCAGCGCTGACTGGCGGAACGGACGGGGGAGGGGGCGGGTACAGCTGGCTCTGCCTCCTAGATAGGCAGAGCCAGCTGTCAGTCACGCAGCGCTTCAGCTGCGGCGTCTCCGGATACCGCAAGCTACAGCTCGCCGTATACTGAGCCTAGGGTGACGGGAGGACGCCAGTTTGTGTCCTCCCGTTACCCTAAGGAGAACTATGTGGAAAAGTCTTAACCCCATAGTTCTCCTTTAATGCAGATCTCTGAGCAAATCCAATCTTAACCCTTGCAGTGCTCTGGGGTAGACCCACTGCTCATTTTGTGGGGCTCAAATAACAAAGTTATAGTCGCCGAACTGCGGTCCAGGTGGGCTCCTACACCTCTTCCTCCGGACTGTCTCTTTTTTTTTTTTTCTAGAGCCCGTGGAACGTGCATCGAAAAACGAATCCCCCGTGAACAAAAAAAGTGAATCGTGAAATCACAACACGCAAAAACGTGCACAAGGGTGCTTGGCCCTTCAATAAAGAAGGGGCCTCTACTTCCGCCGCCTCCCAACCCTCCAGCCAGACCCAGTGATTCCCCCCTCACATCAGAAGGTAGTGCCTTTAGGCAGGGGCGTCCCGAGGCTGGGTGACACCCGGAGCGGTGTCAGAGTGTCACCCCGCGGAGACGTCAACACGCACGCGCGGCAGTATTCCGATACCTGCCAGCTGCCATCTTGGTGATGGATGCCTGCAGAGAGAGGAGGAGACAGCCACCCGGCGGGATAAGGTATGCCGCCGGGTCCCCTCCTCTCTCCTGATACTGTCGGGCGTGCGAGTGCACGAGTGCCCGACTTTTCAGAGGGGGGTGACACCAAAATGACTAAGTCATTTTGGTGTCACCCCTCCAATGGTGTCACCCGGGTGCGGGCCGCACCCCCCTTGTGACGCCACTGCCTTCAGGGGCCCTCCCACTGTCTATGGTCTACCCGTGCCTCGGGCCTGACACAACTAGCAGTGGACCGAACCCCATCCAACACCCACCTTTACGCCAGAGGGTACTAGGACGCATCCACCCCTTTCCATAGATGGCAGCATCCTTTCCCCTCCGGCAACTGATAAGAACAGATACTACACTTGATCTTAGCCAAAAGGCCGAGAAGCGATCGGACTGTCTTCTCATCTGCTCAAGCGTTGATATGCCCCTTGGGTTCCTCACGTTCTATACACTGTACTGGATGTGATGACTCACAGGACCTTAGACCGCTGGAGCGGAGGGGGAGCGAGGCTGAAGGGACCCGTCTAAGCCAGGATTCTAGTTCAGGTGAGTATAACTTTGTTATTTTCGCTTCCTAGACAAAATGGGAGCTTAACCCTTGTAATGCAGGGGTAGCCCCACTGCAAGGGTTAAGATATGATTTGCTTTTTAAAAAAAAAAAAAAATACTTGCAGGATCAGGGTTTAGTGTGATGAGCTCTTCAGGAAGGAGGAATGTATCTGACGAGGAGCTAACTGGCATGTTCACAAGACTAGAAGTAGAGTATATAGAGAGTAGTATATAGAGAAGAGTCGTCGTTCCAAGATGGAAGCTGACCCGCTTTTCCTGCAGAGGAAGTTTTGGCAATTCCTGATGGGAAATCCTTTCTGGTCACACAATGTCCTTTCCACTCATCACTGGCACTCTCTAGACCAGGAAGGAAACACACAAAATAGTTTTCACTGACTTCCTGTTCTGTGCGCTGTGAAATATTTCAGAGGAGACGAGAGACGCTTTGTGCATTGTGATTGTGCACGTGTAAGCGATCTAGAAGAAGACGCCATACGTGAAAGATGAAAGAGGGGGCTTGACGCGGCCGGCTGAGCGTTCAAAGGGAAGCCAAATAATGTTTTATGTTTTTTTAGATGATACAAAGGACACCGGATGATGTTACAGCTACAATGTAATCTCGTACAATGGAAAAGCCGCTCAGCGCTATTCACTTTCTATGTTGGGGCTGCAACCAACTAATCAATAATCGATTTATGAGAAGAGGTTTTTTTTTAATACAGCTAATCGATTAATTGGGCAACCAATCGATTATGATTATGACTAGCCTATATAATTTTTCCATTCAACTTCCAACATGGTGAAGATCCCCACCCAGTCAACAGATTTTCATTCTCATGCTTTTCTATGCAGCACAGGCAGATCATGGCTGGTGGGAGGAGAGGATTGTATACTGGGCCCCACATACATATTGTTCATAGGACGTATAGAACCCCCAACTCTCTCTCCTAGATCAGGCTTTCTTAAAGGAGAACTATGAGATGAGTGCTTTTCACTCGCCTCATAGTTCTAGCCGACCTGTGACAATGAGACTGTCACAGGTCGGCTCAGTAGATCGGGAGGTGAGCGAACACATACCGGCGTTCGCTCACCTCTCGATCCTGTCACGGCTCTCTGCCGTGACAGGGGAGGGGCTGGATTCCCCCCTCCCCGCTCCGATCCGCCAGCGCTGACTGGCGGAATGGACGGGGGAGGGGGCGGGTACAGCCGGCTCTGCCTCTAGATAGGCAGAGCTGGAGGGACAGATGAAAACATCAGGAAAGAAGATCGGAATATGAGACATTATCATTTAAGGCAAGTGGTTCACACCTGGGCGTTTTACATCGCGTTCCTACACGCTGTAAAACGCTCAACATGTGAAAACAGAAAAAACGAGCACAAAAAACCCGCTCAGGTGTGAACCCAGCCTAACATGGGGGGGAGGGGAATTGTCACTTTAACCCTTGCAGTGCCAGGGTAGCTCCACTGCCAGGGTAAGTTTTTTTTTTTCCAATTCCCGGAATTCTTCTTTATAACATTCGGTTGGGATGGCTCCAGACACCGATAACCTATTGTTTTTAGCATACGTGACACGCACTCGACATGCGCCAAATCATCAGCCTAATACATCTATGCTGAAGTCTGAAGATGATTTACAGCAAAACCTGGAAAATTTGTAAATTGGGATTTGGCTTTTTGCCTTATAAACTATTATCTGTGCTACAATGTAACCACCGTTTAGTTTATCTGCCCCGGAGATCTCTGATGAGTGTTTGGGGATCATGTATCGTACGTAGAGGGAGTCGGTTATAGACTAGTGATGACTTCACAATTGTTTGGTGTGAGGACGATGGATGTTACACGTTATGTTGGATAATGTTTTGCTGATTTGTCTTTTTTTTGGGGGGGGATGTTTTGATTGTTTTGTATTTATAAAAAAGAAAAAAAAATATGCTAATAAAATAAAGGCAGATATAGCCGCAAGGAGACCCGGTGACCGTCCCTGACTCATTATTCTGTAGCAGGCCTCATCTGTGATGTCATCTTGGGTGACATGGCCAATATTGAGTCACCTTGTTTAATCCTTCAGAACACAGAATACGTCATTTGTACGAGATGCTCTTTGTCCTTCGCCTTGTGTCAAAATCGTTCTATATAGAATGGGAGCCTCCGGGACAATTGCTGCACTTGAAGAGGACGGTTGCGAAACAGAAGCAAGGCAAGAGCAATGTAGAGCGCAAATGATAAATTGGGTCATAAAACCAAAACCATATTGAAGATATTAGTAAACACAAACCTGAGATATACAGTGAGTGTGATCGGTACATGTGTACACCGTATATGTCACATTGAAGTGTAGCAATGCTTAGAGTCTGGATATACTTTTATTCTGCATGTTTGTTTTTTTTCTTGTCTTGTTCTTTTCCACTCATGTCGTCCCCGTCCCCCCCACCCCAATCTGTGTCGCCGCTTCTTCCTCCTCCTCCCTTGCTTTCTACCCCCCTTCTCTCGATCTCTACTTCCCCCTCCTCTCGCTCTCTACTCTACCCCCATCCTCTCGCTCTCTACCCCCATCCTCTCG